TATTCTATTAACATTTCTCTATCTGGAGAATGGGTCTGTTCTATGTCTTCTTAATTCAGAGGGCCCCCTGCCTGTCTTTGCCTAGGGCCCCACATTTCCTAAATCCGCCCCTGGTCTGGAGAACAAACAAGTCTGCTCTGATGCATGCTGGGTAAAAAGAGAGTTTTTCTTTTTTAATATGATTTATTGAACCCTCTGTGAGTTTCTAAATCATAGTTTTGGGATATGATTTAGAATTTAGGCCTAAATCTCCTGCATAACTTCCCTCCTGCTTTCCTTCTCTAACAAACCTCTGAAGCCTTCAAAGAACATCTGCATCCATCTTAACGTTAGAATGCAGATATCAGACATTTGGACTGGACTTTATTTAGGGGCAGCAAAGTAACAGAGGTAGAATACAGTTATAAATCAGGCCAAGAAATTTGAAAATCATAAATTTTGTCACAATTCTGCTCTTGTTTGTGTTAATTTAGAAAAAATACACAGAAAGAAAACTCGTTAGGTTTTTTAACTACAATTCGACAAAAATGAGGAAAATCTTAAGGGGTATGAAGACACTGCATGCTGTCGTTAGCACAGTTAGGTGGTTTTTATTGGTAGAATGATCTCACCTGTGCCTGAAATCCTTGTTCCTTTAAGGAAGAAAAGGACATAAAAGCAGAAGAAAACAAATGTTAATTCACACAGTCTGCAGAGAAATTCCAAAAGAACAAAAATCCAAAGCTGAAGGTGTGAAAAAGGGAAACGTAAACATGTAACGCTCTGGGGAAATAATATCAAGCTGAGTTTATAATGAAGCTCATGTCTTTCTATCCTTTGGTTCTCGCCTTTTATTCATCATGCTGTGGAGTTGCTGTGGTTCGACAGAAAGACGGGTTGTGTCACACATTAAGCGCTAAGCCCTCTCTTTGTGCAGCTTCTCTTCTGCAACATAACAGCTCCGTCTTCTAAGGCCTATGTTTCCTTTCTGGCTGTCTGGTTGTACCTTAACTCCAGGATTCCCGTGGTGTTCATCGATGGGTACACCCGACGCACGAAGTTGAGGTCGCCGACGTAGAGGCTGCCGTCAATGCCCATCGCCAAGGCGACCGGCGCCAGCAGCTTGTTTCCGTCTGCAAGGCCGTTGCAGCTCGGGCAGGAGATGCTGCGCCTGCGTCCATTTCCCATGATGCTGGTGATGACTGGAGGCTGCTCCGTCACAAAGACGTTCTCGCCGCTGCCTTTGTGCAGAATACCTTTAAGAAAACCCCACAGAAGGTTTTAGAGGAGCGGCGGACTAGTGGTTAGGGCAATCCTGTTAGGGCAATCCTGAGGTTGTCAGTTCGAAACCAACTCTCTGAGCCAGAGTTGCCCCCACCCTGCTCCCCTGGCGCCCAAAGATGGCAGCCCACTGCTCCTGAAGGGGACTGGCCCGTTAAGCCCTGAGGGTTTTAGGAGCAAATTTGGCCCGAAATGACATATGTGAATAGAAGTCCAGCTCCCAAACTATAAATTGGAAACACATTTGTTTGTATTAGAGGAATATTTTTTTCAGAAGGAACTACTATTTTAAATGTCACCATGTCTGATTTATAGGTGATTAAACTGAAAAAAATAAAATAAAAACAAAATATAAAACAGCCTCACCAATTTCTTTTCCAAAATAAACACTGAAAAACACAATTAAGCCCATTTGAAACTGTGGATGAACCCTCAGACTTTATAGATCCACATCTCAACTCTAACTAAAGCTAATCTGGACTGAATCAGTTGAAGCATGTTTGTTCCACAAAGGTTTTAGTGGGCAGGATGCTGGGAGGAAATGGGATTAGGGCACAATGTCAAAAGTGCAAAAATGAATTTTTCCGCTCATAAAAGGGAATCTGATCAGACAGTTATGCTGATTTCCATTATTGGAGACCTTCTGCATGAGGCGAAGCCTTTGCTCTGAGCCTGGTTCTGCTGGAGGTTTCTTCCTGTTCAAAGGGAGTTTTTCCTCTCCACTGTCGCTACAAGCATGCTTAGTGTGAGG